GTATGACGCATTTTTAGGGGATAACGCGCAATCAAAAGTATAATACAAGGGGGTATGACGTATTTTTTAAAATACAGGGGGATAAGACGCAGATTTCGTATAATACAGGGGGGTTTGGCGCAAATTACCCATAACTTTTGACATCCGATCGAGTTAGAAAATATGGGACCACATCTTAATACATTGGATAAAACAACGTACCATATGATAAAGAACTCTTGAGACTTGCAGCTATCGTGTATTTTATTTGGAATACTAAGAATTGGTTGGTGTTTGAGAATAAATACCAAGGCCCGAGTCTTGTTATCAGTAAGGTAAAAACTCATGTTTATCGAACTATATTTTCTACTTGCCAGAATGTGCTTGTCGAATTTGAGAGTAGGAACTTCGGGCTTTGAGTGTCATTTTTGGTGCTTCATTGTTGAGGTTTTGAGGTGGTCGGATGGCCTTGGTGAAGAGTCGTTTGGGAAGGAGAATTTTCGCTGAACAGGTTCTGCCCAGGTGCTAGCGCCGCTAACTGGAGGCCTAGCGCTGCTTTGCGGCTTAGCGAAGAGGAAACAAATGATACGGGTGACCTGCTCCAGGTACTAGCGGCGCTAACTTGTCTAGCGCCGCTAGAGATTCATGCCTAGTGTTGCTAGATGGCTTAGCGACCAACTGAGGCTGCAACACATATTCGATTAGCGCCGCTAGGCCCGACCTGTTCTACGCGCACCATGACACCCTTAACCCCGCTAGCTATGCCTTGCAGCGCTAACCCTGACTTCACGCTAGATTATTCTCGGCGCGCGACAATGCGGCACGTTGCTTAGCGCCACTAGCCCGGCACGTTGCTTAACGCCAAAATACCTTTACTTATTTAAAAAAATAAATAAAAAAAAAAACAAAAAAGCCGGCAGCCCCACCCCAACCCCACATTTCTCTCACCTCTCTCCAAAATCACTCCCCACACTAAAAAAAAATAAATAAATAAATAAATATTCCAACAAAAAAAAATCAATCTCTTCAAAAAGAATTCAAAAAATTTCCGAGAAATGGTCGGAAGGAGGGAAAGGTTACGGAATCAAGAGGTACGTTTTTTTTTTTTATTTTACACAAAATTTTTTTTTTCATTTTTTTTTTTTNTTTTTTTTTTCATTTTTTTTTTACGGCCACGCCGCGATTGCGGAAGTTTTTGAAGTGGGCACACCGCGATTGCGGCCTGATGACGGACCGTGTTTTTATCTATACGGGGTTGTGAATAATCGCACACTCAGGGCCTTCGATTACTCACGATAGGTGTATCTAACAGACGCACTCAGGGCCTTCTCCTAGATACCGTGACTTCAAGACGCACTAACGGCCTTCTCTCCGACACTGTATGTAAACACGCACTAACGGCCTTGTTTATCACACGTTAGAACATAAAGTTCCCCTCACAATTGGCTCACCAATTCAATACTATATTCAACTCATGTCCAATAATGATGAGGTACATGGGGTATTTATAGGTGCAAAAATAAATCTAAGCCTAATAGATTTATATCTCCTAAATCTAGCAATAATAGAAATCCTAATACTAGAAAATCTCCTAATATCTTCTACTACTAATAAATAA